TTTTTTTTTTTTTTATGGTGGACTTGATTTGATCTGGACTTTGATTAGGCCATTGTAGCATTGAACTGATAGGTTTCCCGGTTTTTACAGCCTCTAGCTGATGGTTTAGCTCCTCTGTTCAGTTTAAGTGTTTTTTTACAATAAGCTGTTTTTCATAAATATGTCATTATTTTCTTAAATGTTAACAAGTATTTAATATTCTATCAAACCAAGAGTTGTTTAAAACATGAAAACGAAGTTCTTTATCTGGGGTTATTTTGCGTGTTTCTCTGTGATGCTTTCATAAAGGCCGGATTTGTGGAATAAATTCCTCTGTCCTACCTGAGTTGTGGAGCTTCTCAACATCTATTGATTTCTTGTTTACTCCTTTGATTAATGCTCTCCTTGCCTTGCCTGCCTTAGGGCTACTACCATGTCTTTATGTTGACTAATGTACTCTAAGGAACCTCTGATGCCTCAGCATTAAAGCAGGATTTATACTGAGATTTAATTACAAAGAAGCTGACTGTATACTAAGTATGTTATGTCCCGAATTTGGTTGAACTTTATTTGGGGACATTACAGGAAGGGGGGAAAACAAATGCTTCTTTTGCATGGTATAAAAAAAATTAATGAACCTGCCTTGTGGTTTAAGGTCACAAGCAGACCAGTTACCCAGAAAGTCCAGCATGGTCCCACCTGCTGATTGTTGATGATGCCTGAACTGTGCCTGTTTGTTGCAGAGTGCATATGCCATCCCCACCATGGCCTTCTCCTTTCTGTGCCACACAGCCATCCTGCCCATCTACTGCGAACTGGAGAGGTCAGCCCTGCAAATAAGTCCTTGAACCCCATCACCATGACCGTAATGCTCACTGAGCGACTGCTTTCTTTCAGACCAACCAAAGCCAGGATGCAGAACGTTGCAAACATCAGCATCAGTCTCAGCTTCCTGCTTTACTTCATTTCCTCTTTGTTTGGGTACCTCACCTTCTATGGTAAGCCTGCACCAAGAAGCACTTTGTCAGTTCAAAGTCCTGATCTGACTGTGCTTCTTCATTCTTCTTCTCCTTTTAGCTCACGTAGAGTCAGAGCTGCTGCTCGGCTATGGAGAGTACCTTCCCCGGGACATCATGGTGATGACGGTTCGGCTGGCCATCCTCCTCTCTGTGCTACTCACAGTGCCGCTCATACACTTCCCTGTGAGTGTGCTATACCTCGCACATCTTCTCAACCAAGCACTTTTAAATTTGAAACCTTTGTTTCCATGAATGCTGCAGGCCCGTAAGGCTGTGATTGTGCTGTTGTATGGAGGACGCTACTTCTCCTGGCTGACCCACACAGTCTCAGCTCTGATTATCCTGAGCGTGGTGCTGATGCTGGCCATCTTTGTGCCTGACATAAGGAATGTGTTTGGAGTCGTTGGTATGTAACCAGTTAGGACATTTTTATTTTTTATTTTATCCCACCCCTGCAGACAGAGTTGGTGGCTCAGGTTTGTTTCCACCCACATGTTCATTAAGCTCCAGTCACAGATTCTTTATAGCTCTGCGATCTGGCGTTATGATGGCCAGTCAAAAACCATTACTTGAGTCCTACTTCTTGAGTCCCTCCAGCAGCAAAGCACTCCCTCAGCATGATGCTGCCACTTCCAAACGATTAAATGGTCAAACACTATTTTTATCTTTTGTTCAGGGCAGGAATCAAGACTCAGCACCAAATAATGCTCATCTCTGGGATGCACAGCCAGTGTCCTTGTAAAACTGTAGATTATGGACATTCCTGTGCTGTTTATTCTTGCACATTAGATCAAATCAACATGGCACCTTCATGTATCCTTAGTTCCTTTTTGATGCCTTTGTTGAATTTTGTAGATTCTCTCCATAATGTGACACAAGGAAATCGAATGTTGACTTTAAAGCAGGAGCTTAACATCATGATATTATAACCTAAGCTTTTCTAAATAATCTAAAGTACTCAATGTCTGAGTAAACCTCTGAATTTAGGGAGAGTATTAAATACGTTCTTAAAATAGTGGCATTAAGTAAAATAGTAATAGTTTTGGTTATTCTAATTTGCCTCAAACAGTAAAAGTTTCATCCTATTTTATGTCTTGTATTTTGTTTAAGCACTTTTCAGCTTTACTGCGGGTTTTCTGCTTGAATTGAAATTTTAAACCATACAACCAGAGGAAACCTTTTGAAAGTTTGGCATCTTTCTCTATTCAAACAGTACATATGAAAGAGATCAACTATTTGATCATTAGAATTCCATTAGTTAAAAATGTATTAAAAGAAACTACAGTTATGTTTTGAAGATGGACTAGCAGCAGCCACTTTGTCAATATCCCTGTTATTGATTGTTGCTTCTAAAACTGCATTTTCTATGCATAATTAATGTTGCATTGTGAACAGTCTAAAAAGCTGCAGCAGTAAGATATGCTGCACATTGTCTTCATGCTGTTAATTTTTTTCTCTCTGTTACTTTCAGGATCAACGATGTCCAGCTGCCTGCTGTTTGTTTTTCCAGGCGTCTTCTATCTTAAAATCAGCGGCCAGCCGCTCCGATCGGCCGACTCCATCGGGGTAAATCTGAATAGTAAATAACATGTTTGTTACCTTTAGGCATTTTATGCTAACCTGCGGTTTGTTTTTGTCTCCCTAGGCTATATTTCTAGTGGTTTTTGGGCTAATAATGGGTGGTACCAGTCTCTGTGTGATCATTCTTTCCTGGGTGTTCAGTTCCTGAATCCGCTCCGACCAAAACCCAGTCCAAAGCAGGAAGGAAAGGGAAATATGGACCAAAGAAACGGAACCTTGAAAGAAATCAGCATCAACTCAGGGACTTTTTTTAATGAACACTAATGCATTTGCATTTTTTTTGATTGCAACAAACTTTTACTACATATTGACTTTAAAAACAGACAATTCAGTTCAGCAAAAAAATGTTTTATTGATCCAAAAAAGGGAAAATGGACACAAAAAGATAACAGAACAAATAGAGGTTTGTTCTGGATTTCAAGATGAAGAAGGGTTGATTTTTTTATTGTTTCAAAGCTGTGGTTTTAATTATGCACTTTATATAAATCAAAACAACAATCTATTTTTAATTCTCAAACACTCATAAACAATCATTTTTTTCTGCAAAAATCATTTCAACCTTTAATCATTCTTGTCCTAGTATGTGTCTGTTTCTGTTCACAAGCTCAGAAAAAGTTTGTCTCACTATTTTTATAGCAACAGGCATTAAAGGAAAGGGAAAATGTTTACATGATGAAATGCTTGTTTACTTGTTTAACCACTGAAATGTCTTCCTTAGAACAGACTCATCTGTGTAAACATGTTATGATGCTGAGTGCCACTCTGGCCTTATGCTGCAGCTCAGCTTGCAGCTAACAAAAGCCACACGCTCTACACTTTTCCTACCATGAAACTGTTGTTCCTCTTTATGCTGCCTCTCAAACGCTCTTTGCAATTCAGAGTTTAGGTGGATGTTTGAGGAGGGCCGCTTCCGCTTACGGTGGATGTGAAAAGTGTGGAAACTCGTTTTAAAATGTCTCCATATGTGAACAAAACAAAACTATGATGAACTGCTTTTGACTCATCCAAACATTAATATGGCCCCGGTCTATATAACACTATTAAAAAGATAAAAGTCTGGAAGGGGCAAAAAAAACAAAAAACCAACTACAATCTAATATTATTTGGTTACATAATGCACATAACCTCAAATTCTTCATCATATTACAAGGATAAGTCCTGTGCTCTGCTTTTTTTCTCAAATAGATTTCCTAGGAAGATACTCAGATCAGGTTTCAAGTTGTGGCGTTCCAAAATCTTCTCATAAAGCCATTTGTTTATTGGTTCAGATCCACATCTTGGGTTGTTGTAGCGCTGAAAGATAGTTTCCCTCTGGAAATAACTTGCTTCTCCTTCATTAAATGCCTTGATTCTAGCTGGAGAAAAACAGCCCCGCAGCATGAAGCTGCCCTCACCGTGCCTCAGTTTGGTGATGGTGTTTTTACGTTTCCCATCATGCAAGATTTTAGATGTGCTTTTGTGAAGGTCTGTTGGGCTGAAATGTTTTCCTGTGTAAGGGAAGGTTTCTGTTTGCTGTTTAGCTCAGACATAGAAGAACAAAAGAGTTCCACTTCACCGCCAATACTAAACGGAAACTGAAACTTGTTGCTATGGATCCCTGGGAAGCTTACATGAGCAGTTTTCCAATTTTCATAACATGGTCCCTTTATTTTTTCCTTCAACTGTTTACTGTGATCCACTTTAGATCTAATTCACTTCTTTATTGTCCCACAAGTGGATACTTAGGAACAGAAGCAGACATGCATAGTTTACACATTAACTTATTATCCGTACTCCTCATCTTCTGCTATCCTCTCTATGTGGAAGATAAGTGGCTCTACTCTGAGCCTCTACCAGTTGACCAAGCTCCTCCTCCTACCTCTAAGGGAGAGCCCAGCCTGCCTGTGCAGAAAGCTCATTTAAGCCGCTTGTAGCTTGGATCTCAGTCTTTCAGTCATGATTGAAAGAAAAAGATACGTTACCATTTGCATTTAATCTTTATTTACATATTACTATACATATCAACAAGGATTTTGGGGAAAAAAAGTACCAAGCTTTGTTAAAGTTTGTCCAGAGCTTAAATAGGACAATATATTTCTACATTCTTCATAAATGGTTAGCTGCACCTTTGAACTGTAAAGAAACTGTCCTGACTGAAATATTTTAACATCCATCAAATATGGACGCCCTTCCCTGTTCATCCTTAAGAGGCTCTGTGACTCCTGTTTGACACGGGTTCTCAGAGGAAGGTGGCAGTCAAAAATAATTACACTTTTTTACTATATTTTTCCCTTGAAAGGAAGAAATGGCTCTGAAATTCCTTATCTAGCTTTTAAAAAGGACAATTTCAACAAAGGTGTTAGATTTTTTTTCTACAACCCATGTTATACTTTAAATCATTCTCAGCACAATATTACCACCTAGTGTCTGATGGTGACAGCTCTACTTGTGTTCATCATTCCACACTTTGTTTTGCATTTTATAGTTTTAATGAACCCCAACAAGTATGAACAAAAAAAGCTCTGAAAGGTTGTTTCTATGTCAGAAAAGTGCACGTTGACCCAGCGCAGTGCTGCTTTTTATGGGGGCCTGTTGTGGTCGGAGCCCTCAGCTCAGGGTGGGAGTGTTTTTGTTTAGTTAAACCGACTCACACGGCTGGGCTGGGCTGGGCCCTCATCCAGCAGTATGACAACACGGTCCCCCAGGGTTAGGGGGAAGGAATGAGGCCGGGGAACGATGGTGGGCTGAAATTAAGAGCCCGCTGGCAGCCTCAGCTTCTTCTGTTGCTCTAAGAGGTGTTGGCTGTTTGCTCGAAGAGATGCTTTCTGTTGATTGAAGTTAGGGCAGTGGTCACTTATGATCCTGTTTACCGAATGCTGACCTTTCACCCTACTGTGCTGGATTTCCCTTTGTGAATGAAAGAAATGCATTTCCTCTTCCTGTTTGTGTTTTAGCATCACCTTTTTTTAATGTCAGAAACTGCAGCGGAGAGAACATCAAACACATCTGCTTTCAGTTTACTCATCTCCAACAGGCGTTCCTTCCTAAGAGGTGCTTTAGGGGTCTTTTCACGTCAGATTTTTAATGGTGGCTGGCATGATGAGTGGTTCTCCAATATTAGTCACGGTTCTGGACCACAACTCGACAAACACTGTCCATACGTGAGTGTCATCGCTGATAAAGTGCTCTGCGCTTCATATTCTGTTCTCCTTCTCTTGTCTCTTGTTCACCTTCGCTCCACGCTGCTGTTCTGCTCTGAATCCATTTCCACGCTCCATCAGTAAACATGCCTGCTGTGACACAGTTACAGCATTCCTCGCTCTGAGGACTCTTTCTGCAACTCCAGATGCTTTTGTTGTTCAACAATGTGCCTTATTTCCTCTCAGATTTCCTAATGATATGCATGAAATAATGTTGGAAAAAGCCTGTCAATTAGAGGATTTCAAATCAAATCGCTAAACAAGGTGAAGGAAATGTGGAATTTCCTTGCAACACTCATCTTTAGAACAGCTGAATTTTTGCATATCTAGATCTTGCCTTTTTGGTTTTCTTTATTTCTTACAAAGCTTTAAAAAGAACAAGTAACCCACCCCCACCTACTTATTTCATGCTTTCTTATGTCAAAGATACTCTGACTAAAATCAAAGGTTCTGGGGATGTTATTTACTTTAAAGGGGAAAAGCTATCTAAATTAACCTAAACCAGTAAAGAAATGTTATCATCTATGATCTTTCAGCATAGATTAACTATGATTAACAACAGTTATTGGATAATTATGTCAGACATGATCAAAAGTCAGATTACAGATTACCGTACTTTAAAGTCCAGAAATCACATACTTAGGACCTGTCTGACAACAGGAAGCGTGTTTAAGTCTCAACAACCAACACAACATGCTCAGGAACAGATTAGAAATAAAGTCACTGTATGTCAGGCTGCGGTTAACAAAACTCTTGTCATCCACAAAATAAAGACAACTGGGTACAGATGTGGCCGGACTTTCAAAGTGACTCCAAGAGGGCACCAACACCTCAACCGCTGAATCTGAGTTCATCCAACCTTTAGGATTCTTAAACCAAAGTAGAAGTGTGAGAAAGAGCTCCATGATAAATGCTGTCTGAAAAGTGCTGGCACTAAGAGAGGAGGTAGAAAAATTCGACTGTGCTCACTGGTGCTTACGAGCTATAAGGAGGCCAACAATCCTTTGTGTTACGTGACAGATAAGCATGGAAGACATTGTGAAAATTAACAAAAATACAGTATCTCTTCAAGCTGTCGTCCCAGGTTTACTAGCATCATCCATGTGCAGTTTAGTCATGTATTGACGTATGTTAGGACGAATTCAGCAAAGCAGTCTAGAGCTTGTTTCCTACAGTGGGTAGTGTTCTTACTGTTGACCTCAAGGGATAGAAGCTGTAGGGACAGGGGAGCAATTTGACGTATTTGGATGCAGCCATGGTCTCACCTGCAATTAAAGACAGAGTTTATTAGTTAACAATAGGAACTGTTTTGTTTTGTATTTTTAGAGCAACAAACAAGTGGACAAAATTGGCTTAAATGGCATCCAAGAGAGAGTTTCAAAGCTAAAACAATTTCTCAAAGAAACATTATTATAACAGCGTGGCAGAGATGGGAAGTAACGAAGTACAAATACTTCATTACTGTACTCAAGTAGATTTTTCTGATATTTTTACTTTATTTTACTACTTATTTTTATAGCGACTTTTTACTTCTACTCCTTACATTTAAAAAAATTGTCTCGTTACTTTAGTTTTGAATCATTTCAATGGAGTTACCGTTATTGTTTTTCACGTCATCAATACCAAATTCAATCTAATTGGATGGGAATCTTCATTGCATTTGACGCACCACTACAAGATGAATCGACAGATTCGGCGGTATTCATTGGCGGCAAATCATTGCAGCTTGGTGGCGGTGGCGTTAGCATAGTAGCATGGACGAAGAGATGATTGAAAATGAACACAACGGAGATCTAGTCCTATTGGCAGACATCCATTTAAAATGTAGGCAACGGCATGAAAAAAGTGGTTTCTACTTTTACTTTTATACTTTAAGTAAATTTACAAGCCTGTACTTTGTTACTTTTACTTGAGTAAAGAAGTTAAATCAGTACTTCCACTTTTACCAGAGTATTTTTTAACACAAGTATCTGTACATTTACTTAAGTACGGAAAGTGAGTACTTTTGCCATCTCAGCAGGGTGGCCTAGTGGTTAGAGCATAGAGCCTGGAATCCTGAGGTTCGAAGTTTGAGCCCCACAGATTGCCTCTCAGGGTCCCTGAGGAAAGACCCTCCTCGGGCGCCAAACCGGGGCCGGCAGCCCAAAAAAAAAGCAATAGCTTGCTTGCAAGCTAATCCTATTGGGGACTGTTGGCCTAGTGCTTAGAGCAGTGAACTTGTGCTCTGAGAAGGTTGAAAGTATCGGGTTCAACCCCCACAGCCGGCACTCTGTGAGCAAGACCCTTAACCCCACGCTGCTCCCCAGGCGCCACACAGTGGCAGCCCACTGCTCTCCAAGGGGATGGGTCAGAGGTGAATTTCTCCGGTGTGAGATCAATAGAGTTCAATTATATGTAAAAGCTTTCTAAAATTTGAAATTGAAATTTGTGATTGCCTCTCATCTTCTGAGGGAGCAGTGGGCTGCTGCTGTGCATTCTGGGAATAAGGGTATGGCTCAGGGAGCCAGAGAAGCTAAAACCTGCTGCCTATCCAGGACACAATTGCTCTCCTCCATCCACTAGGCTGGTGGTTTCTATCCCTGCTCCTCAAGTTCTCTTGTCCTGCTGCTGAGGAGGTCATACAGTCATTTGAATTAGGGAAAGTGGGGAGAAGGAGGTTGAGAACCACTGCCTCCCTCATACAGTATGTGGACTGATGAGACAAGGGGAATACTACAGTCTGGTTGGACTAGGTCGGTCTGACTAGCTTTTACCCTGCAAATAGGAGTTAGTAACTGGAACACAGCTTTATGTTTTTACACACGTTATCTATGTCCGGTATTAAAATTAGTTTGCAG